GGAGTCTCACTCTTGTTGCCCAGGCTGGAGTGCAGTGACACGCTCACCGCCACTGCAGCCTTGACCTGGGCTTAGGCAATCCTTCCGCCTCAGCCTTCCAAGTAGCTGGAACTACAGATGCATGCCACCACGCCCGGCTAAAGAAAACGTGATTCAAGGTGGGGGGGCGGTGGGAGGGTGGGCGATGACCCATTATCAGTCTGTGGCCATAGCGGCTAAGCTTTAGGCTCAAAATATGTTCCCCTTACTGGAAAAAGGTGTTCTCCCCCCCTTTTAATTTTTTTTTTAAACATGTGGGGTCCAATTCAGGGTTCGGCATGCAAATGTTCATTACGCAGGTACCCTTGTTGATGAGGTATGCCCCGCTCCCTCAAGGCGGATTCCCACTACTGCTAATCCTGCTTCCCCGCTCCCCTCCCAGCATTTTCTTGCACTTCCAATCCCTTTCTTATAGTATTATGATAATTTTTCAAGGTCTGCTTATGAGTGAGAACATGTGATACTCAGTTCTTTGTTTCTGTGAAAGATCATTCAGTATTATAGACTCTAAGTCCATCCAGGTTGCTGTGAAGTTCATGGTTTTGCTCTTTATGGCTGCATAATATTCCATAGTATACATGTACCACATTTTTTTTTTTTATCCAGACCCCTTTTGATAGGCAGCATGGTTGGAGTTCTTTTTCTCCTAATTTGACCTTATCTTGATACTGTCAATTTAGCATGTGTCACAGAGAAGTCAAATTGTCATAGGTATTGCAATCTTTGTTTCTCAGGGAAGGGTATATTTCAATTTTTTTTCTTAGTTCATTATGGAGGAATTTTAGAGGTCACATAATAATATCTTAACATAATCGAGGGCACTGCCACAACATCATTAGTTTTTCTCACACTTGTTCAGTGAAATAAATGGCTGCCATATATAAAGATACATTTAAAACTTCGTGAAACCAAAGAACCAGCCAAGGCTTCATCAGATTTTAGGGGCCTTTAATGTTTTCTTCAGTCAAATTCCAGGAATAGGAAGAGGAAAGGGAATCCTTTATTATTTTGTGTGTTAAGATTTGCTCTGTATTCCAGGGATCCGTGATTTTTGTTTTTAATAGACTGAGCACTATGGCTTATGCCTGTAATCCCAACATTTTGGGACGCCAAGGTAGGAGGAGCTCATGAAGCCAGGAATTCAAGACCAACTTGAGTAATATAGCAAGACCCTGTATTTACAAAAAGATTTTAAAAATTAGCCAGGCCTGATGACATTTGCCAATAGTCTTATTTACTCGAGTGGCTGAGGTGGTTGGATCGCTTGAGCCCAGGTGTTGGAGACTGCAGAGAGCTATGATTTGCCATGGCATTCCAGCCTGGGAAACAGAACAAGACCACCCTGTCTCTAAAAAAAAAAAAAAAAAAAAAAAGGAAAAAAAATTTTTAAATGTTTTCTTTATGAACCCACAGAATCATATTTATTTGGTAGCATTATTCTTATTTTTCAGATGAGGTCTATTCGTGTCATAAGTCAAAATTGAACTTTTTGTCCTTAAGTTTTGGTAGTTCAGGGCTCTCTCAGCTTGAATGTGCCCAGGAATTCAGTGCAAGAGTTTTGAGTGTTTATGACTTTTTGTTATCATTATTTGCTCTTACTGGTTTTTTTTTCTCTTATATTATAGCAGGAATACTCTACTCTGTCTCCCCCACCCCGCAATGTCACCTATACATCGAGTCCTACATTTGACTGTTGTGGGTAGCCATCTCTCACTTGCTATGGTAGAATTTTGCAAGGTTGCTGAGTAAGACCTGTCAGCTGACACTCACTCATATGAGAGCCATTAAAAGGGTGGTGTGGCCAATGTCAGAACAACCTTGCAGCTGAAGGCAAGTCACTACATTTGCCCGGAGCCATATGAATTAGGTCTTGTGACCAATTCATTGACTGCTACATAATCTCCAGCAAGGGAGCACAGATGGAGTGAGTCAGTCCAAGCTGCTCAACCTGTTGAGTGTTTTGTCTTACTGACTGGAGTACAAGCTCCAGGACAAAAGTAGGTAGAGGGATTTAGACTTCTCCATGTTTATAATGGGTTTGCGGACAGCATGTTTTATAACATGATGGATGCAACTGACTTCCTATATTAATGGCAGGCTTACTTCACATAACAAATGAATGCCTCGCCCCCTTTTTTAACTTTTGAAAGAGGAAATTAGTAGGCTGCTGCTAAGTGAGATGATTGTCTAGAACTTCTGGTCACTGTGGAATATTTCTCAGACAACAAAGGAACTTCGAGATTTGTGTCCAAGTCCATGTTGATGGTCAGGATAAACCAGAACCACAGAGGAGATGTGTGGTGGCACAGCACAGACCACAAATTCACCAGAAGGATGGCAGGACTCGGCTGGGTGTGTGAGTGGTGCTGTTTCTGGTCCTGGGAGGATTTACAAGAAGCTTTTATGCACAAAGATTCAAAAGCATGCCGAGCCAGGAAGGAGTACTGATCACATGGACCTCAACAACAGGTTTGAAACTTTAGTTCTGTTTCAGAGTCTCAGGTAAAATTTTATTTAATTCATTACATACCGAGGAGATGGAATTGTATTGATCTGAAAGTTGTTTTTCGAGAGTGCTTCTAAGTAGGGGGGATGTAGGGGCATATAAACAAGTTCTTTCTCTTAAGGACATGGGTATTTTTTAATGACTGTTGTAATTCTACTACCCCTTTGCTTTCTTGTTAACTTTTTGCTACCTCTGGAGCCAACCTGTGAGAAATGGTTACGTCCTTGACTCTTGTTAAAGCTTGAATAGTAGTGCTCACAATAGCTATCAGGAAAAGTGTTGCAGTCCCAGAGTACCACCACAGTGGGCAGATAGGCATGGACCTGGGAGCACTCCCCTCATGGTCTCAGGGAAAGTGGGAGTTGTGCATCTCTGGTTGGAGGTGGGGTGTTGTGGAAGCCAGACTTCCTATGGAAAATCCTTTTCATGAGAAGGTTGTGTTATGATCAACTAAGTTTCATAAGGCATCTTGTCTATACAAAGTAACATTGTACTTGACATACTCTTTTTGGCTGATTATTTCACCTGCTTTGAAAGAATTGTTAATTTTAGTATTAGTAGTACTGAATTGAAACATTATTTGTAAAAAGTTTTGTTGCATATCAATAAAAAGGAAAAAACTCTTTGAGAATTGCATTTCATTTCAAAATCTTATGTAGATAGATGGTAAGAAGAGAAATAAATGTTAATGAATGGTATAAAAGTGAGTTTCTATATTTACTTGTGTTTTTTTTCTTACACAAATTTTCTCAAAATTAACATGACTTATAAACTGTTTATCCCATAAACAGTTTCTTGGATTGGTAAAAAATAATCAGGATATAGTTTCTGTCATGTAAAAATCTTTGTTTTTAGTAAAAACTTAAACGTTGGATGACAGATCAAGACTCCTATCTTATTAAAAAAAAAATAAGCAATAAGACACTATATAGTCCACCAGAGAGTAAGAGCCCAGTAGATTAGAGAGTTACAGAGAAGTGGGGATGTCATTTTGGATGTGCTGGATCACATACTCTTCACTCAAAGAGATGTGTTTGTAGAGGAAGAGGTAATGACATGGTACGTTAGAAAAATACATTTGACCAGACAAGAATTTCACTTTCATAGTACCTGTTTTTATATGTTTCTTATCAAGAAGGGCAGCAGAGTGATAGGAGAGTCAGAAAGTGCAGGGTGTACTTGCATCGGTATCTGGAGCCTGATCAGCATCTCCAGCTCTGCTGCCCAGGAGCCATGCAACCCTGGCCAGGCTCCTGGCTTGTCTGAGTCTCACTTTCAGCTCTTAAGCTGTAGTTGGCTCAGATTGCTTCTAAAATTCTTTCCATTTCTGAGATTCTAAGCTGTAGTTTTAGGGCCTGTATTATCTATTGTTATTCTGTAGGATTCCATATCCCCAAATACAGGGGGGTGCTAAAAAATGTATACATTTGCAAACGTCATATTTAAAATGTGCATACTTTTTTAGGGCACCTCCTGTAGTTATTTAGGGTGAAGGGTGAGAAGTGACTGTCCACATAAGAAAATAATATGTAGGGCCAAACCAATTTTTTAAAAACTTCTAAAATTTTTGGTATGAGCTGCTGCTTCCCACTTTTAATGAGCTTGCTATTCTTTGGTGGAATTTAATCATTTTTTTATTTAAGCAACCCTTTAAACTTACCAAACATTTTTATACCCATTATCCCCTTTCTTTATTTTAACTTCCTTTAGATTTACTTCTCTAATGTTGAGATTTTATTGAGAATTTTGTGCAGTGATGACATATGCTGGTCAATTAATTGGAACTCATCTCTAGTCAGACCAGTGGTCTTGGTAAACCTCGTCCACTTTCTCTTCCCCTTCTTACAGTCTTGGAAACATATTGGTTATTTGCAGTATTACACTTGGTTTCCAGAGTGTACTTAGGACTTGGGCCAGCTTGAGGGTAGAAGTGAATTATTGACAGGAGCTTGCACAGAAGGATCTGGCTCCAGAGTACTCATGAGTTATCTGTTTGTCCAAGTCATGTGGCATTCTGTTAAGTAGGACTTCCAACAACTTTTTGCTCTCTTAAGTCAGTAGTTCCAGGTAGTCTTCTTAGTTGAGCACACTGATAAGCAGGGCTGTTTTCGCTCATGATGTCCCAGTTATTGAAAAGATGAAGAGAAAGATTGCACAAATACAGTAGAATCATGTCATATGCCTAATGGTAGTCACATCGTAAAGCCGACACAGGTCAGTGCAGAGAGAAACATTTGATCATGCTGTTGTGCTTCGCATGGCGTGAAACATCTCGGGATGGAAGTTGCCTCTGCATCCTCAGTCTATTCCCCTCTACCTCTATACTGACAGATGTTGGAGCTTAGTTCATTTCACAAAATTTCAGAGTCAACAGAAAGCTTCAGAGTTTGATCAAAGGCATACGAAACAATTTGTTAATAAAAAATTCCTTGCTAAAAAATCACTTCAAATTTCAGTAACTCCGAAATATGGTTCTGAAGCCAAAGTGTAGTCTTCAAATAATTGCTACCAATTTTCTTTCTTAAAATACTGACTTTGTCAAAGCTGCTGGCTACTTTTGGTTTCTCAAAATTTCCCAGAAAATTAGGTAAGTCCATAGGTTGTTTATATGAGAAATCTGGGAGTATTTGCCAAGTGTACCTGTGAATCATTGTTCCTCTGATGGCAAGAGAAAGCTTGCCATAACCTTGTCTTTAACATGCACTCTTCACACACTGAAGAGGAACTGAAACAAAGTACTTCAGAGTCAATTGTGCCTTACAGTTTCAGATCTTGAAATTTGGATTCAGAAGAAATTCACAGTACTACGTTAGCACCACCAGGCTGGAAGAAGCAGAAGGAAGACTGAATATAGATAGGTAACTGTCTGCCTTAGGTTTTAGGTGCACTAATTCTATTAAAAGAGGAAAATATTTTTATTATCTGTGGTAGTTGCTTAGCAAGAAAGTAAGTACAGAAACCAGAGTGTGTTTTCCTTAGTGAGCTGTTTCATAAAGATAAGCTGACCGTGGTTTTACAACCAGTCTTTATTTATAGCAGTTGGGATTACTGACTAGGAAATGCAAAAATAGTCACAGATTTAGAGAGAGATGCTTAGGCAATAGACCAAAGCATTAGGAGATTCTGGTAAAAGGTCATCAAAAGAGAAGGTGGTGCAGGTTGAAGGGTGTGGGGAGTGCTTGTCACTGTTCTGTGCACAGCAGTGGTGTGAGACCATTCTCCTAGTACTGCTTACAGAAAATGGGGCTGTTGAACAGGTTGAATGAAGTTAGTCAGCTGATGGTCTTGTGCTCTCTGATGAGCTTCACCGGGAGGTTGTAAATTGCTGGGTGTGACTCTTTTCAGTTGCATTGGGTATTGCTGTCACACGTTCTTTTGCCCTTCCTGCATTCTTTCCCCTTTTACTGATTTCATGTGCCACAAGGATTTCCTTTTGACTAGGTAGAACAATCTGTTTTCACTGGTTGATGGTAGGGTTTTGAGATGTAATCAGAGACTGAGTGAGTGAATGAATGAGGGAATGCAGTGGTGGTATTGCTGCGGTGTCATGTCTGATCTAGGGTTCAGGAACATTCATCTTTTCCTTCTGAGGATACATCGCTTGCTGGGAATATATGTCTTAACATAGGGGATTTTCATGGAAGCTGACAGCTGACATAAACTTTTGTCTGGGTCATACTTGGATAAGCACCGATGATATAGCAGAGTAAAGCACTTGTGATTAGTCACCATAACTGTCTCCAGAATGACTGTTTCAGGCAGAAGATGAGGATGCTCTGACTCTGGGGTCTGCACGCCAGTCTTTGGGTGGGCAGCACCTGGAACCCTTTTCTTCAAGCTCCTGCTCAGCTCTGTACTGAGCTGGTCCGTGGGTCCTGATTCTCCTATGATGACTCCTGTGTGAGTCAGGCTCTGGCTTAGCCTTATCCTTTTATTGTTACAGTAACAAAGCCTCATAACTGCTGAACACTGATGTAGCAGGCCCTGGTGGGAATTGGTGAGAACAATTCTTCTGGCCCATATAAGAGTATAATTGACCCCAATCAAAACCCACCAAAGGGAGTCCAGCCTGTGGACTGAAAAACACCAAGGTTCTTGAATGTTCTTCTCTTGTATGGAATTCCGTACAAGAATGTATGTATGTATCAGTCATACATACATTCACCAGCCTCTGTAACTTGAAGGACTTGAGAAAGGTTAAAAGCAAAAAAACCAAAAAACTACCTAGGTCTTTCTAGAAAAGATGTGAGTGAAAACCCTTTTTTCCTCACTTTGCCTTATTTCACTTTCATGCCTCACCCTGCCCACCCTGCCCACAGGCAGAAGAAAGGAGCTTAGTAGAGTTAGGCTATTTTTTCCACTTACTAATTTTTTTCTAGAATTCAGCTCTAACAAATGAGAACCTAGACTGTACTACCAGATATAGTGAATTTGGGGGTCTTCTCTACTCTGATTTAATGACCTAGAGTCTTCTCTGCCTTGGATTCCTGTGTCTTTGGGAACGTCACCTCATCTTTGTTTCTGTTTTCTCTTCCCCCAAAAAAGTGATTTCGCCTGCAAAATGGAGAGAGAATTAAAAAATAATAATAAAGGTGGTAGACTGGACAGTGGTTCTCAAATATGTGAAGTGTTTTTAAAAATGTAAGTTGTTTTTAAAAATGTAAGTTCCTAAGCCTCAAATTCAGATCCACTGAACTGAATTCCTGGAGCTCTGTTAACACACATACACACGTACCACATGCACAGCTTGTGGGGTAAAATTCTAAAGATGAGTCACATCTGAGAACCACTGGATACCTGGCATCTGATTTCCTTCCAGCTCTAACTTCTAATGATCTGTCAGTGACCCACGAGTCCTAGAATTAGAAAAATGTGAACACTCAGCCCTGGGTGAACAAGGGAGTCAGGGCTATTTCAGTGGTCACCTTTTTCCATGTGAGAGGACAAGCCATTGTGGCTATTT